GATAGAGAGAGAGAGAGACAGACAGACAGACAGAGAGAGAGAGAGAGAGAGAGAGAAGAGAGAGAACAAGAACGACAGAGGTAGAAGATAGAGAGAGAGAGAAGAGAGAGAGAGAGAAATAGAAACATAGAGAAATATCGAAACAGAGGTGTTCGAACAGATAATAAAAAGAGTCAAGCGGAGGTGGGAGTGCTAGGTCCGGCTACACCACAAACAGGATACGTCGATATACAGAGTTTGGATAAAGGTGGACGAATCAGTCAGACTGGCAGTTGGTCAGGATCAGTGAATCGTGTCAGATCGATCGGGAGGTGTAGCAGGAACTGCAGCTCGCCCTGATGCTAGCAGCGCCTACCTGCTGGCCCTCCGACAGCCAGGCCGAGCGGGTTGTAGGTCGACGTGGCAGCCAACACGGCTGACGTGGTCAGGGAAGCCAAGGGTCCGGCGGCGCCGCTTCCAGGAGTCACGGCGTTCATCGAGCTCACGCTGTTTATGCTCGACGAACCGATGCTGCTGGTAGACGGCGACGATGAGACCGCTTGCAGCAGGCCTGCGAACATGCCGAACGGGTGCGGGTGTTGGGTCGTGGTTTGCGGAGGTGGCGTTGGCACGGAAGCCACCGAAGCGGGAGTGGACGATGCCCGGGGTGTCAAGTCCAACGGGGCGCCCGAATTCATCGGGCTGTTGCTCTTCTCGCTCCCGTTGTACCGGTGAAACGGGGGCGATCTGGCCATGTTCCCCACCGTCGACGTGGCCGTCGTGGTGATCGTTCGAACTTGGTTCTCCAGAGCTGCCAAAGAAGTGGAGAAACTCGGTAGAGACATCTCTTTGTGCTCGTTTTCCTCGCTCTCGCGATCCTGCTCGTCCTCCACGTCGCCACGACCATCGCGATTCATGGCACACCTCTCGTCTTCCTCCCTACGATCATCCTCCTCGTCATCCTGATCATCCGCTTCCTCGCTGTGCTCCTCCCCCGTGTACCTCTGCTGTTGTTGCTGTTGCTGATGTTGATGCTGATGCTGGTGTTGATGTTGATGCTGATGCTGATGCTGGTGCTGCTGCTGCGCCTCGTCCTTCCCGTCCACGTCGTTCTCCTGAGCCTGTCTTTCCAACGCCTGTTGCCGCGTCGGGGGGAAACTCAAGGGGAAGCCGGCTCCGGCAGGGTGAATGGGTGGAAAGCCCTGCGGGAGGAAGGATGCCAGCGGGTGGTGCGGATAACCGGCGGGAACTCGTTCACCTCGCCGGCTTGAATCTGCTCCGGGCTGAGCTCCGTTGGCTCGCCGGTGTGCAGCCGTATGTGTTGCTGCAACACCAGCGCGTTCGTGAATTTCTTGTGGCAAACGGGGCACTGATGCAACACCCTGAGCGGCGGCTTCGCCCTGTGCACGCCCATGTGAGTCTTCAAGTTACCCTTTGTGGTGAACGCCCGGCCGCAGATCTTGCACTTGAACGGCCGCTCGCCCGTGTGGGTCCTGTAATGCATCTGCAACGCGCTTTTGCAGGACAGCACTCTGTGGCAAATCACGCACTGGTTCGGATCGGTCAATTTGTGCTCGATGTTGTCCACCAGTTGCTGCAACTTGGACGTTTCCGAGGTCTTGGTGATCTCGATCAAACTTTCCCACGAGTTGTCGTTGCTGCCCGGCCGTGGCAACAGGCTGGAATAGATGGCTGGATCCTTGGCCGGATCGATCATCTCGCTCGTATTGACGGCGGACGTGTTCACGGTAGTTGGAGCGGGATGGTGCGGGATTTGATGATGCGCGGGCGGCCCTGGGAACAGAATCCCCGCGAAGGATGTTTGAAGGCTTCCGCTGCTCGCGCTACTGCTCGCCGGGGATGCCCCGGGATACGCGACAATATGCTGCGGCAAACGATTAATCGTTCCCCGACCGGACAAATTTTCCGGCTGTTCCTCGATCTCCTCGTCTACTTCCATGTCGGCGTCGCCTTCGAGCCGGCCGCTGATCTTACTGTCCATGCTACAGTCTTCGTAAGTCTGCGGTTGAGAGGGTGGATTGACAGAGGATTGGGGTGAATTCAAATACCGTCTGGTCGTCTCTTCGAAATCCTCGCTATCCTCCTCCGTCGGCTCCTCGGCCTCCTCCGGCTCTTTCTTAGGCGTTATCCTCTCGCCGGGCTCGTGACTCGTGGGCCGTTGGTGTTGTTGATACTGGTCTTGCATAGGCGACCGGTGCTCGAGCTTGATCTCGTCCCTTTGCTCGAGTTGTTGCTGCTTTTGTTGCTGCTGCTGCTGTTGTTGTTGATGTTGATGTTGTTGTTGTTGTTGTTGTTGTTGTTGGTGGTGGTGGTGGTGATGATGGTGGAGGTGATTGTCGTGAAAGGAATGACGAGAGTTGGACACAACCGCGGGGGAATGTGGGGACGTGGTCGGGGCAGTGGTAACGGGTTTACTCAAGTTCTCCGGCACGTCCTGATCGTCTCGATGAGCAACAACCGGCGATCTGTACAGGGGTGGCATACCGGGAAGGGCTAGGCTGAGCGGCAGGGGAGGTTGGGGGGGTAAAAAACCGTGGGCCGCCGCCGGGTGGAAGGTGGGATGGTGAGAGGGCGGTGGCGGTGGCGGGGACGGCATCGGTCTCTGACCAGAGGCGATTTGCTGTAGCAGGGGTGGATGGTACTTGTCCAGGTGTTCCGGAACGGGATTCGGGTTCATCTTAACATGTGGAAACTTGGCCGTATGCCTCTGGAAGTGGACCTTGAGGTTCCCTTTCGTGGTGAAGCGGCTGCCGCAGACGTTGCATTTAAAGGGTCGCTCACCTGTGTGCGATCGTATGTGGATCTGAAGCGCCGAGTCGCTGCCGAACACCTTGCCGCAATACCGGCAACGATGCTTGAAGAACGGCTCCCCGCGACCGCTTCCGGACTTTGAGTCGTACGGGGAGAGGCGGGAGCCTTTCCCTCCCCTGAACGCCAACTCGTCGGCCAGGTTGTTCGCCAGCAGTCCTTGGCTGGCGTTGTCCAGAACTTCCTGGGCTCTCTTCTGCAGCATCTCCAGGGTGTTCGGCTCGTGCAACGGTGGGGGATCGGTGTTGGTTATTATCGACGAAGCTAAGGAAGAACTGATCGAGCAGAGAGGCGGAATCTGATGAGACATAGGCACCTGGCTGCTGGTGCTGGTGGTCGCGGTCGTGCCTGTCGCGTTCGTCGAAGCCAGGGGAAGATTCAACGGGGACGCGCTGCTGGTCGGTGTGGGCCGTTCCTGGGCGAGGTTGGGCGTCATCGGAGCTGGCGAGGTTTGCTGATGGCTCGGCGGACGCGACGAGGGAGGCGAAGTAAGGCTCGACAAAGGTTTGGGCTGAATGATCGGTGACGGTGATATTTCTTTGCTGTCCGGCGGCTCGCCCGGCGGTTGCTGTTGCACCGTTTGATTATGCGTTATGGAGAGTTGTTGCTGGAGTTGACTGATCAACTGCAACTGGAACACTTGTTGATGCTGCAAGGTGTACAGGGTGCTTTGCAGCAACGCCAAATCTTGGAGAGCAGCCTCGGTGTCCGCGCCACCGGCCAACGCTGTCGCTGCGAACTGAGCAACCGCCACTTTCGTGTTCTGAAGGGCTTCCAAGGTGACGTGACTAGTTCCAGCCGGTGGGAATAAGCTGGCCGGTGTCCCACCTTCCACGAAATTATTGTTGTTCTCAGCATCCTGCCTGTGATGCATTTGCTTCCTCGATCCTTCCTCGTCGTCCTCTTGATCGTCCTGCTCGTCCACCCCTTCCTCCTCATCCTCCTCCAAAACGTCTTCCTGATCCTTGTCATCCTCGTCACCTTGATGAGACCTGGCAGCCGTGAGGTCCACGGCTTCGTCTCCGCCAGCTCCTGCACCGCCACTCTCTTCTCCATCCGACGTAAAGTCATTTTCCTCTCCTGTAACATGTAATTAATTACTCGATTATTCACGTTTATCCTCTATCGAGTCGAAAATACTTATTTCATCATACGCAAAATAGAAAGGTTTCACGAATATTAAAAGTGAATCATTTTAGTAAGCGTAAATCTAAACGCGTTAACGTAAAAATTGAAAATATAATGAATTATAAGTTACGCCACATCCGAATGTTTATTAAAAGATTTCGATGGAAGAGGAAGCATTTCCATAGCATTTCATAGTATTCGTTTATAAGGATATACAACAGTGTTCATCCGAGTGAAGACTGACAAACTTGAATCTTATTAAATTATTCATTTTTTTTTTCTTTTTTTTCTTTTCTTTTTTTCTATGTTTTAATCGCGATACGAGGATAGAAGCCTGTTTGAGGTACGCGTTGTTTCCTGTGGTAGGGAGAACAACCATCTACGCGAAGAAGCCATGCCAGTTTCATCTGTATTCAATGTTTAAATCATTTGTATGTATCGCACTAATGACGAAAAAAAAAATGTATAAAGAGCGTTGCTCGTTTGAGATACTGTATGTTCTATGAATTTCAAACAGTTAATCACGTTACCGATGCAACAAGAAGCATTCGACGAACGGACTTTACATATTAAGAGGAGTAAATGGCACGATTGGAAACGCTCTACGGATGTTATTCTCGTTCGTTATCCTAAATCTAATCATCGATCCGAGAGTTTTTTATAACGCGTTAAGAATATTAAATTTGAGAAAAATAAACTCGAAATAAAACGATAAATATTTTTTTCTTTTTTCGATAACGATAATCGGATAATGATATTAAATTTTATATGCGTTAAATATTTTCTGAAGTGTTATTTTTTTTTTTTTTTTTAATTTTTCCAACTGTGTGAAAAATATATTCATATTACACAATTCGAGAAATCAATATTTCAAAATAACTATCGCGTTTAATTTATAATAAATAACGTACATATTATCGATAAGATTAACGTATTGATAAGATTAAAAGTAACACATTGAATATTCAATATAAGAAATCCAATGCATTTGTTTTTTTATTTTATATATATTGAGAGAGAAACAAAAAGAAAAGTAATAATAATTATTTCGTTCGATATATAATATGAAAGTTAAAAAATATAAGTATGCATGGTTTTCGTTGGTAATAATCCAAGACCTGGATCTTAATATTTTGTAATTAAAATGTATGAACATGTTGTTAGATCAAGCGAAGCATTTTATTATTTGTACGTGACAAATATGATGAAGAGATTACAATTCAATCGTTGTTGAATCGATAAAATAACGCTATGTTCAATAATAAAAATGTATTTAAAGTTTTAAGTATTCCTCAACTAGCTTCGCGTTACAACGGTAACATTATTTTGAACAATGTATAAAACTAGTCTACGAAACTAATTATCCTGCAATTCTGACAAACAAACAATTAAGATAGGAAATAATGCAAAAAATAAAAATTTACATGAATTCCATTCCACTTTGTAGCCTTATATAATTCAAACTTTTTTTAAATTTTATGGAAATTTTATTTAAAAAGAAAAAAAAATTAAAAATGCATTAAATTAAAACATTCGATGTAATAAAGAAAAAAATATTAAAAAAAAAAAAATAATATATATATATAACAAAAAGAATGAGAAAAATATATACACCGTGCAACAAGTTTAAATACAATTCTCTGAATCATCTGGGATCGAAAGAATAACATTTCAGGACTGTCTAAATAACATCGAAAAGAACATCACTCCGAGGAAACAGTTCACCACGCGAAGATGAAAGCTCATAAAATTTCGCTTCACGATTAAGGCAACCAGTCGCCAAGGCTGGAACGGGTCGAACGCTTGGCAGGTCGGCTTGTAATAGTTAGAATGTACAATGTGCCGGTGAAACCGAGTCAGAATCGTTAATCGAAGTCGCTCCGATTTTATTTACCACCCAGGCTTACCGACACTGATCACGGAATCTACGTGCCTATAATTCCTTCAGAAACTAAATAACAATCCGTCCACATTTAACTTTACACCACGTAAAAAAATACGAATTCACGATAAAAGAAAAAAAAAAACGCAACAAAGGCCACCGTGATGAGGATCATCGTCCCCATTCGTGTCAATGATAAGAAACGGCGGCACCGCGATTAGTATTCCGCGGCGCAACGCGTGAAACCCGTACCGATGGAAACTTTTTAATACGCGCACCGGGGCCAATGAAAAATGGAAATCGCGCAATTACTATTCCCATCGAGGCATCCAAGACCCGTTCGAATCGCACCATTTAACGTTTCACTCGCCACCTGAGTTGACCTCGCCACTAATCCACTAAAAAAGACTCTGAAATCGTATTCCAAAACTTCGCGCGTCACTCTTTTTTTTATTTTTTTTCCTTTTTTTTTTTTGCGTCGTCGCGCGCGAGACAAAAGTGTTCTGTCGACCGGTAAAACGTGTTACAGAGAGAGAGAGAGAGAGAGAGAGAGAGAGAGAGAGAGAGGA